AATGAAAATCTTTCTCGACTTGTTTAAATGCCTACCCATCTAGGAAGAAGTGGTGTGATTTCTTGGCCTTACCGCAGTACAGCAACTTCCTATGGGATCTCCTTCATCCTTAGTAGTGAGTCAAAATCTGTACATACACAAAGGAGTCTGCTTATTCCGACAACACTGAGCACCGGTCTAGCATGGGAAACAAGTGGGAATGGCTGGATTGGATTGTACCTGCAATGAAAGCAACAGAACTCTTCAAAAGCTGAGACGACATGATAAGTTTAGAAAAAGTTACATGAACGAACACCAAGCTTAAATGAAATTCGGTTGCAGCCAGAAAGTAGGCTCTACATTGGAGTTATATAATCCAAATGACGACAGATTTAAGGATAAAATTGATAGGATATTTTATGGTAGGATCAGTAAATATAGTCTATAAATAGCCCCCCAGTAATGGTCGACCAACGACCTCAACTGATTTGCCCAAACTTCAAGAAAGGCTTGATCTCACCATTACCCTTGACAGCCTCCTTATCCACGAAAACCTTTCTACCACTTCAACCGTACACATTATGCGTAAAATAAGTGTAATATTTTATGGGACATCTACTAATCCTAATTTGATCCCAATGATAAAGTTTTTTGCCCATTTGCAGAAAGATCATGTTGCGTCTTTAGTCTAAATAGGTCGGAAATTAATATTTCCTCCCTTACGTCTAGTCTTATACTATAAGTAGTAGCGTAAGTAGTAAAGGCCATCCTGTTGCAAAAAGATTAAGGACTGAATGCTCGACAGCCTGAATTTATTTAGTCAATTTTACCATCCTTTCTTGCCCGAAAGCATTATTTACCCTTGCGTCTAAGCTTTCTGAGACTGAGTTTATGGGTTAATTGATCTTTTTACCATGTTTAGGCCAAACTTGAACGGAGGAGGGTGTTCATGTAAAAAAATGACGCTATGCCTCTGAATGTAGACACAGAGTGTAGCACAAATTCGAAATCCCTTTTAAAAGCAGCCTTCCTTATTTGGCGCAAGTGTACAGACATCCGGGCTTGACTGTAATGTCTCTCTCATGGTTAGTATTTTAGTTCGTTGATGGGTTAAGAAACCATACTTAACTGGACGCTGACCGGAAAATAACCTTCCCTAATGCAAAGCTACGGAGAGTTAGCTGCTGCTTTCATGCGAAGTATGCCATTTTAGTGTCTATCACGTATAGGGTATCTACTCAGATCAGTATTTATCGATTTACTTTGTTAATCTGCAGGCCCAGCGTCTCATTGATGTGCTTAAAACACTCTACACGGAGTTCCTTCGTGAAAGTTACCCTGGCTCTGAAAAGGTATGTCGAAAAAAGTATCTATAACTAAGTTTTTAATGTAATTATTTTAATGTTTATTTATTTAATTTTATAAAGAGTAAAATAAGATGTGGTATTGCATCATGAGTTTCAAAGCCTCTTATTAGACCAATAGTTTATTTTTTTATTTTATTTTATTTTATCTTTTAATTATATTTACTTAATTAATTTGCATTGGACTTACAAATTGACCTGACTGTAGAATGGAGTGGAGACTAACTTCATACTTTGCTAACCCATTATCCCAAGGCCATGGCCAAGTCAATGGTATGAGATATCTTCATAAGTATTAATGTCTTGGTCCCACTCTGGAGATGAAGGTATTGCTTCAGACTTATCTTTCCATATTTCAATCTGCAGGCGAATTATGTGACATTTCTTGTTTGGAATTAAACTTGTGATAAGTTAGATTTTAAGAAAGGCTGCTAGCAAGCCTTTATAAGTAATGCGACCTTTCACTTGGCTGTCTTGTCTGTCCATAAGTAACTTCGTTGTCTAAGCACGTGTGTGTTTGAGTAAAGTTTTGTAGCCATTGGCACGACCATCATACTGCGACTGGGTCGTCTTTAAAAATGGCTATCTTTCTATAAGGTGACATTATTTCTTAACATGAATCCTTCGTTCTCCTCATCTCCCAGTCAAATTGGCTTGAATACAGATTCATTTGAATGCAACCCTATCTAGTGTCTAAGCTAACGGAAATATTTGGGTTAAATATAATTCTCCCTGACGCTCCGAGCAAGTTGCGAAAACAAGATCGAACCAACAACATTATAAGGCTAAAAGAGCCTGCGACCAAACAGAAGGCCACACCAGCTTGGTCTTCATATCTACGAACCAACAAAATTATAAACAAATGCTTCTTTGGCTCCTTACAGATATCCAGGATTCAACATGTTTTTAATTAGGATACAGGCCCTTATCGGACAAATAATCTGATGAATTTGTAGTAAATACTATGCTCTGCTCTATAGAAGGTAATGTTATGCTACGTTATGCTTTTTGGCTGATTGTCCAATTGAAAAATTTATTTGTTTATTCACATTTATATGGAAGTTCTTACACAGCTATTAACTGATACGATGTATGCGT